ACATGGATGTCTTTGATTGGTCAGAAGCCGATAAGAGATCAGATGCAAAATCCAGTGTTATCTCGAGTGTAACTCCCAGAGAGAAACAGCACGTGAGCAACCCCTCACTAGGAGCTGAGCTGAGCTGAGTTGAATTGAAGCAAGGCGAATTGAGGTGAGGTGAATTGAGTTGAAGGTGAGGCGAAGGGAGGCAAGTTGAGTTGAGGCGAGGCAAGGGGAGGCAAGTTGAGGTGAACTGAGGTGAGGTGGAGAACAAAGGAACAGTGAAGCCTGGTACACATTCCTGGGTAGTGTGTTCAATTTTAAGTGCAGCATTGAGATCGCAGAGAAGTGACTGATGTGGTTTCCTTTGACTGTTTACAACTTGTCTCTGGAGATAAATTTGATATCTGGATATTTTTGATACTTGATATTATGATAGTTGATACTTTTGGGAATAAAAGAGTGAATTAATCAAATGAAAGAATACTCTGTGCCTTCTCAACTCACTTTCACTGAAGCTAACTGCTGTCTGAGGCGGAGATAGTAAACAATGGTGCAAATGAGTGAGGAATCTCTCAGCCAAGGGATGAAGTGTTTAGGCTATAGATTGCTGAACAATGCAAGAGTCATAATTAAAGACTGTCCATCATCTGGTCAGTACAATATCAGCATGTGACATTTATACCTTACAACAGCTGGGAGAGGTTCAGGGATAGTCTCACATCTGATGGCCTGAGCAGATTTTCTTCTGATGGGTCCCCTCTTTTGTCAGTGTTGACCTTCACATGCCTCCAGTTTCCCAGGTGCCTATCACCCCTGTGGTAGCTCATCTGAAAGGTGGACAGTGTATGCTGGAGCGATAACCAACCTTAGGAAGCATCCTGTCTTTACCCAAGAGCCAAAGACAGTTTTTCAGAAGGTATCAACGACTGGATGCCGAAACTAAACGGATGTTACCATCAGAAACACCAACATCAAACACAAGAAACTCTGTGCCATCTCCGCTGAGGTGAACTACGTCAGTAAACTGAACACTGGACTTCCTGTCCAAAATTATAGGATCCTAATGAACTCCTTCAGACAAGTCATGTCGCATTTCTAGAGCAAGTGGGACATGAACCCAGGCCCCCCCGGCTCAGAAATGGGGGCACGACCACGGCGCTAACAGTGGCCTATTAGTTTGTAATGGGAGTTTTCTCGGAATCAACAGAATAACAAAACAGGAAATATCCCCTCCTCCCACCTCAAGCCGCACCTCCATCTCCTACCGACTAACCTCATCCCGCCCCCTCGACCTGTCCGTCCTCCCTGGACTGACCAATCCCCTCCCTAACTCCCCACCTACACTCACCTTTACTGGCCCCATCCCCGCCTCTTCAACCTGGTTGTTTCCTCTCCACCTATCCATCTTCTATCCGCCTCCCACTCTCTCCCTATTTATTTCAGAACCCCCTTCCCCTCCCCCTTTTCTGATGAAGGGTCTAGGCCCGAAACGTCAGTCTCTCTGCTCCTATGATGCTGCTTGGCCTGCTGTGTTCATCCAGCCCTGCACCTTGTTGTCTCGGATTCACCAGCATCTACAGTTCGTACTATCTCTGATTCAAGGAAATAACAGGAAACAGGTGCGAAGAAACACAGGTACAAAGGTACTCCTAATCTGTCGTGGTTTGCTCCACTCAACCAACTGGTCATCCCATCCACCTAAAAATGACCCAACCACGACCAGGGAAAACTATTCCCTCTGAGGAATATTTTATCTGTAATATCCGTCACCATGTGGATCCAGCTTCGAGTTTCCGGATAGGGAACATGATAAGCTAGCTTCATGGTCGTGCAGCAATGTGCTTGAACAGATTTCAAAATGGGTACGTGTTCCATAAGCTCAAAGTGTCAACTTTAGATCGTCAGCACTACCTACAGCATAGCCATTCACTGCAGCGATAACCGGCTTTTGTGATGTTGCCACGCGGTTCCAATGGGAAAGGAAGTTCCCAGTATAACATTCCTGGAAAGTTTTCTTCTCCATCTCCTTGATATCAGCACCAGCTGGAGAAGAAACAGGAGTTAAACTACAGATCCAAAACACAATAAAACCTTGCAGTTATGTAGCACCTCTAAGAGTGGGGCAACATAAGGCACACGGGGGAGAACGGATCAGACAAAGATTGACAACGGGCCGAGACAAGAGATTTTAGAACAGGAGACCAAAAAACCAGCCGGTCAGGTCTCATTCAGCATTGCGAGCGTGAGAGACAGAGAGGGCGCGCGCGAGAGACAGAGAGGGGGACGGCGCGCGCAAGTGAGAGAGAGAGCGAGCACGAGAGACAGCCAGCGCGCAGAGACAGCCAGCGCATGAGACAGAGTCGAACAGATTGAGAGGGAATTCCAAAAGTTAAAATTTGACACAGATGTACATATGGCCATCTTTCTGGGTGAGGATGTAAAATTTTTCAAAGGTTTGTAGTTGAAAGAGATTACAGAAAAAGAAAGGGACTCGCGGGCGTTCTCTGTCTCTCGCGCTCATGGAAAGATCAAGGATGAGGATTTTCGAATCTGGGCTGTGGTGGATTGAGCCATTGTAAATCAGAACAGACATGGTGGATGGATGGGATAGTGCAAGACAGGATTTCGAAAGTGGAATTTTGGATCCACTCAAATTAACATGTACCATTGTCATGGATAAAGTGGAATGGGATGAATCTAAATTATGATTGCTTTTCTCTTAAGCCTGAGCATATAGTACATGAAGAATTTGAAACACTACTTTGGAGAAGCAGGTAGCTTTGAACCTAAGATTTCCAAAGCTCTCCATCATTGGGGTTTTCCTCCTGTTATGTTTGGATATCCTATTAATCAAGTGAGATTCATTACTATACTCAGTCAACTACTCCATGATCATTGTGTCATATTAGTACCAGGACGACAAAAGGGGAATAGATAGATCTGGGCATTTTTACCCCTCTTATCTATAAATTCCTGTTTTCCCAAAAACATTACACCATGTTGAAGGTAGACAACAGCCCATATTACAGAACATAGAACGCAGAACAGTACAGCACAGTACAGGCCCTTTGGCCCACGATGTTGTGCCGACCTATTATCCTACTAAGATCAAACTACTCTGCTTACCCTACATTTTATAATCCTCCATGTGCCTATCCAAGAGTCGCTTAAAAATCTCTAAAGTATCTGACTCCACTACCACTGCCGGCAGCGCATTCCACACGCCCAGCACTCTCTGTGTGAAGAACCTACCTCTGACATCACCCCTATACCTTCCTCCAATCACCTTAAAATTATGCCCCCTCGAAATAGTAATTTCCACCCTGGGAAAAAGTCTCTGCTATCCACTCTATCTGTGCCTCTCATATCTTGTACACCTCTATCAAGTCACCTCTCATCCTTCTTTGCTCCAATGAAAAAAGCCCAAGCTCTCTCAACCTTCCCTCATGAGACCTGCCCTCCAGTCCAGGCAGCATCCTGGTAAATGTCCTCTGCACCCTCTCTAAAGCTTCCACATCTTTCCTATAATGAGGCAACCACAACTGAACACAATATTCCAAGTGTGGTCTAACCAGAGTTTTATAGAGCTGCATCATAACCTCGCGGCTCTTAAACTCAATTCCCCTGCCAATGAAAGCTAACACACCATAAGCCTTCTTTACAACTCTATCAACTTGGGTGGCAACTTTGAGAGATCTACGGACGTGGACCCCAAGATTCCTCTGTTCCTCCACACTGCCGAGAATCCTGCCATTAACCCTGTATTCTGCATTCTAATTCGACCTTCCAAAATGAATCACTTCACACTTTTCTGGGTTGAATTCCATCTACCACTTCTTTGCCCAGCTCTGCATCCTGTCAATGTCCCGTTGCAACATAGAACAGCCCTCCACGCTGTCCACAACTTCACCAACCTTTGTGTCATCAGCAAACTTACTAACCCACCCTTCCACTTCCTCATCCAAGTCATTTATAAAGATCACAAAGAGCAGAGGCCCCAGAACAGATCCCTGTGGAACACCGCTGGTCACCGAGCTCCAGGCTGAATACTTTCCATCTACTACCACACTCTGTCTTCTATTGGACAGCCAGTTTTGTATCCAGACAGCCAAATTTCCCTGAATCCCATGCCTCCCTACATTCTGAATGAGCCTGCAATGGGGAACCTTATCAAATGCCTTGCTAAAATCCATACACACATCAACTGCTCTCCCTTCATCGAAGTATTTTGTCACGTCCTCAAAGAATTCAATAAGACTTGAGGCATGACCTGCCCCTCAAAGCCATGCTGACAATTTCTAACCAAACTGTGCTTTTCCAAATAATCATAAATACTGTCTCTCAGATTCCTCTCCAATAATTTGCCCACCACACAAGAAAGATTGACCGGTCTGTAATTCCCAGGATTATCCCTATTCCCTTTCTTGAACAAAGGAATAACATTTGCCTCCCTCTAATCATCTGGTACTACTCCAGTGGACAGTGAGGACGCAAAGATCATTGCCAAAGGGTCAGCAATCTCTTCCCTCGCTTCCCGTAGTAACCTTGGGTATATCCCGTCTGGCCCAGGGGACTTATGTATCCTCATGTTTTTCAAAGTTTCTAGCATATCCTCCTTCCTAACATCAACCTGTTCGAGCATATCTGCCTGCTTCATGCTGTCCTCACAAATGTCAACGTCCCTCTCACTGGTGAATACTGATGCAAAGTATTCATTAAGGACCTCCCCTACCTCCTCTGATTCCAGGCACAAGTTCCTTCCACTATCCCTGATTGGCCCTACCCTCATGCTGGCCATCCTCTTGTTCCTCACATAAGTATAGAATACCTTGGGGTTTTCCTTAATCCTACCTGCCAAGGCTTTTTCATACCCCCTTCTAGCTCTCCTAAGTCCATTCTTCAGTTCCTTCCTGGCTACCTTGTAGACCCCTAGAGCCCTGCCTGATCCTTGCTTCCTCAATCTTAAGTAAGCTTCCTTCTTCCTCTTGACTAGATGTTCCACATGTCTTGTCATCCAAGGTTCCTTCACCTTACCATCCTTTCCTTGCCTCAGTGGGACAGACCTATCCAGTACTTGTAGCAACTGCTCCCTAAACAACTTCCACATTTCTGCCATGCATTTCCCAGAGAACATCTGATCCCAGTTTATGCTCCGCAGTTCCTGCCTAATAGCATTGTAATTCCCCCTCCCTCAATTAAAAAGTTTCCCATACCGTCTGCTCCTATCCCTCTCCATGACTATAGTAAAGGTCACTATCGCCAAAATGCTTTTCCACCAAGAGATCTGACACCTGGCCTGGTTCATTGCCAAGCACCAAGTCCAATATGGCCTCCCCTCCCATCGGCCTATCTACATATTGAGTCAGAAATCCTTCCTAGACACACCTGACAAAAATCGGCCCCATCCAAACTATTTGCACTTTGGAGGTTCCAGTCTATATTAGGGAAGTTGAGGTCACCCATAACAACAGCCCTATTACTTCTGCACCTTTCCAAAATCTGCCCCTATTATAAGTCACTGATGAACATTCGCCTCGATACCTGCCTGCAAATGCCTTTTCACTTCCTGTCAGGACAATGGCTCCGACTGTCGAGTCATCCTCAAACAAGTCCAGTGCCTGACCGAGTTCCTTCATCAAAGCATCACACAAAGCGTTCAATGCCTTTGGCCGATTCAGCTGGATAAACCCCACATTCTTCTGCTCACCCTTTTTCTCCACGAGTAAGTGTTGATACTGGCCACCTTCGAACGAGAGTGACAAGGACAGTATGTTAATGAATGACTTCTGAATGGATAGTACAAGATCTGAGATTTGTGGCAATCCTTAAGCAGCGCAGCAATGGATTGATACTCCAAAACAGAAATGATCTATAAAAGAACTTTTTACTTATTTATTTTTATTTATTGGGGCAGCACAGTGGCCCAGTGGTTAGCATTGCTGCCTCACAGCGCCAGGGACCCGGATTCGATTCCACCCTCGGGCGACTGTCTGCGTGGAGTTTACACATTCTCCCCGTGCCTGTGTGGGTTTTCTCCGGGTGCTCCGGTTTCCTCCCACAGTCCAAAGGTGTGCAGGCTAAGTGGATTGGCCATGCTAAATTGCCCATAGTGTTCAGGGATGTGTAGCTTAGGTGGGTTATAGGGGGATGGGTCCGATTGAGATGATCCAAGGGTCAGTGTGGACTTGTTGGGCCGAAGGCCTGGTTTCCACATTGTAGGGATTCTATGATTCTATTCTATGACTCTATGATTTCTCTCACGAGCCATTCTACTTCCATCATTGGTCAACTTCCAAGAATGCTGATCAGCATGCGATAGGTGATGGATTAGTTTTCATTCATTTTTGTTTCATTACCAGAAGATAAGCATAGGAATAGTATTAGGCTACTTAACCCATTCAATTCAGTCATGGCTGACTGAACACTTCATTACCCTTTATCCACCCCATCCCTATAACCCTGTACGTCATTGGTAGTTAGAAATCCATCATCCTCTACCTTAAACATACTCAAAGACTGAGCTTCCACAGCCCTCTGTAGTAGAAACTTCCAGAAGTTCACAACAATGAGTTTAAAAAAAAGGTTTCTCCACATCTTGGACCAAAATGGCATTCCCCTTGTTTTTACATAGTGTCTCTCTCTGGTTCTAGATTCAGGGGAAACATCTGGCCTGCACCTACCCTGTCAGTCCCTTTCAGCATTTTGCAAGCACGGTACTAAAAGGCTCAGATGCATTTCTGAGCTATAGGATAGACATGGGAATAGGCTTGAAGGCTGAATGGCCTGCACCAATGTTTCAAAAAAAAAACTGTCGAAGATTTGAACCCTGGCCTGTCACATTCGCTTCTTTTTAAGAAAGTTCATTCACAGGCCAGTATTCACTGCCCATTTCTAATTATCCTTAATGGAGTAAGCTGCCTTCTCCAATACAGCTGAGTGCCTGGCGAGGCTCTTTCTGTGGGGAGTTAAAAGTCCCCTACAATCGCTGAGGATCCCCTTCCAGGACAGATGGGTGCAAACTCCAATTTTCCTTCCCTCTAATGACACTAGTGAACGTGACGACAACGCCGTATTGAACTGCACAAAGCCAGCCTGTGTACGTGAAGGGAAGCTTTGAGATAGGTGAAGAGGCCCCTACGCAATCTGACTCTACCTCCAAATGCACTCTGTGTCAAAACAAAATGAAAACAGTGGTCAGTAAAAAGGTCTTCATTTTTCACACTAAAGGCCTTGACCAGCCTGAACAATATTGGGAACTGGATGCCTGGAAAGACTCGTAAATCCTTTTCTGGTTAGTGCAATGTCTTCAAGACAAGTGTGATACAGACTGCCATGCTGTCAATGCAGTCTTCTCCCTGTTTTCAAGCTTCTGTGTAAAATTCTGGAGCATCTCCACAGCCAGAATGGGGTTGAGAAACTTATCAGCCACAACTGAATGGTGGAGCAGAGTCGATGGGCCGAATGGCTTAATTTCTGCTCCTAGGTCTGATGGTTTCAGCCAGGGAAATGGGCAGATCAGCTGGTGGATACTCACTGACCTCCTCAGCCTCACTAGTGAGGCCCCACACAAGGATCCTGATGTAATTGCACATGCCAGTATGGTCCGGCTCTGCTCTGGCTGACCGTTGTGATCCATGTGAGAAGCTGGCACGTGTTTGGCTAATCTGGAGTCCGCCGTACAGAACTTCAGCTTATCACAGGCATCCTTCTATAGGGATTTCCTGTTCCACTGATGGGAAATGGCTGGCAAATTTGGAACAACCAGAGTTTTGGGTTATCCGATATCGATTTATCATGATTTCACTGTATTAGAGATAATGGGGAATGACAGCCAAGTCTGGTTGTGCTCGGCCAGTATCCCTTTCATTTTTGGGGAGGCACTGTTGTAGTGGTAATGAGACTGGACACAATCACAAGACAGTGTTCTGATGATGCAGGTTCGAATCCCACCGTGGTTGAATTGAAATTCAATTCAATTCAATAAAGAGCTGGGCTAATCGTGACCATGTCACCACTACCAATTGTTGTAAAAATCCATCTGGTTCACTCAAGCCCGATAGGGAGGGTAGTCTGCCACCATTGCCTTGTTCTGATCTACAGAACCTATGGGGAGAGGCAATGGCCTAGTGGTACTTTCGTTGGACTGTTAATCCAGAGACCCAGCTAATGTTCTGGGGACCCAGGTTCGAATCCTGCCACGGCAGATGGTGGAATTTGAATTCAATAAATATCTGGAATTAAGAATCTAATGGTGACCATGTGCCAATTGTTGGAAAAACCCATCTGGTTCACTAATTCCCTTCGAGGAACTGCCACCCTGGCCTACATGTGACTCCACACCCACAGAAAGGTGGTTGACTCTGAACTGCCCTCTGGGCAGTTAGGGATGAGCAGTAAATGCTGCCTAGCTGTCATCCCATGAATGAATAAAGGAAAAAAACATGTTACTCCATATCCAGTTTCTCTGAGCTATCCTCTCAGCAATTAAGATTGAGCAATAAGTGCTAGCCAATGAGACCATCATCCCATGAATGAATTTTTAAAGAAATTCCAGTAAACATCACTGGTTGAATCTATCCCAAAATTCAAATCCTGAGGCAAATTCCATTGCTACACTGACTGAGGTGAACTATATTCCTGTAACATTATGGTTATGTTCCCACACTCATAATGCAGTGTTCTGGAATGATATGACTTCAAATCTCACCATCACAGCTGTGGAATTTAAATTCAATTGATTAATTACAATCTGGAATAAAATTTACTATCAGAATGGTACAGCATGGAACTATTGGATTGTGATAGAGATTGGCTCATGAAGGAGATTACCAAAAAGTAATAAAATAATCTTGTGAATGCATGTGAAGACACTAATACTGGCCCTATCCATTGCATAAGAAAGAAATAACTTGGCAAACTTCAATTTTCTCCAATAACAATAACTAATCGAGTATCAAATTAACCAAACCCTTTTCATGTGGCTCAAAATGGTTCAAATTCTGTTTTAAACGATTATTTTTTGATTTTACAACTGATGCGGTGAAATTAACTTCAAGGATCGTGTCCAACAGACTGATTCAATCCTGATTTTGCATCTGATAAACCACTAGAAACATAGGCCAATGACAGCCACGGGTGTCATTGCATCAGGACAATATTTCCAGGGAAAAAAAAAACTTAGACCTGGATTATGTTAGGTCTCAAACAAAAGGGCCAGAATTTTTGTTACCAGAATTTTGGTGGTACATACCCAACTTTTGGTTACATACGAATTGTGGTAGAGGCATAAACCCTCATACCTTTTAAGAAGTATTTAGATGTGCACTTGCGACTCCAAGAAATACAAGACTATAGGCCAACTGATAGAACATAGGGCTAGAACAGTTAGGTGGTTGTTTTTCACCGGTTCACTCGATGGACCAAAGGGCCTCCTTCAGTGCAGCAGACCTCTATGACCCATAAAATCTGCCAGGTACTTACTTACTCCAAGGCTCATCCGTTCCCATCTGCTTTCTTTCCTTTTTACTTTTGATCTTTTTCTTTTCTCTTTTAAGCCTCCAACAGCAGCAGCAGTAACGCCAGGACGAACCGGACACGGCTCCGCCCCACAAGTGAGGAACAGGCCCTGCATTGACTACCCCCCGGCCCAGACTAGGCCGAGGATCCACGTTCGCACCTAGGCCCGAACTCCTGAAGTTGGACAAAAATGATCTTGTCCTGTGCAGCAGGTCTTCTTTGTTTTCAATTTCTAAGAATTTCAACAGCCCGATAGCAGGCGGTCTCATCTAGGAGTGGCGGTTTCAGTCCTGAATGGCGGTCTTCTTTGGCGAAGGCTTCCGGCCTAGCATCCAGCATCCGAGTGTGGCAGTCTCGTCTTGGCTATGTCTTCAGGGCATTCCATTGTTCCTAACTCAGCTTTCCCTGAGCCCAGGAGCCATTAACTGAACTGTGATGAATGTTGGCTTAATTTTACTTTTTTTTTCTTATAATGTATGACTTCTGTCATTGATGTAAGCACCGCGGTAGGGCAGCTTATAAAACTTTTCACTTTTTTTTCATGTAAACATAGACATGGCACTAAATTTCTATTCTACCCACTGTGTAGAGGGTAAATCCCCAGTCAATGTGGTGTGGGCAGTAATGGTGACCCGCCCTTGTTCACAAGTTTTTTTTTCTCTCCGCTACACAAACTAACAACCCTTGAACACATTATTGCATCAATAACAGTAACTTTCAGGCAGAGTTTCTGCAGAATCGAAACGCTGTGGTGATCACAATGGGGATGATGGCTACACTGAACTGACTCCTCAATTTAAAAGTGACATGGGTTCCTTTCTGAAGAAGGGTCCAGACCTGAAATGTCAGCCTTCCTGCTCCTTCGATGCTGCTTGGCCTGCTGTGTTCATCCAGCTCTACACCTTGTTACCTTGGGTTCCTTTTCAATGGGTTTGTTGCACAGTAATTCCGTGCCTGATAGAAAGCTCCATTTTTAAAACTGCACAGAAAGTATCAAAGCAGTTAGGAAGTTTAAAGTGAAATGTTATCACATCACAAATATGGCTGTCCAGGGACAAAAACTGAAGCCCCCTCTCACCCCAATCCCTGATCCAAGGAGGGAATAGTTCATATTTTTAACTGTGGACTCTTCCCTGAGCAGAGATAAACTGGGCCCTAATGGGGAATGATTGCCAAGCCTGGTTCTGCTCGCCTTGTAGCCCCCTCATTCACTGTCAGCAAGTGGCTGGGTTTGAAGGAGTTAAAGCCTCCCCCAGAGACAGATTCTTAATAAAGATACAGAAGACCAAGATTAAAAATGACAATTTTTGGAGCACGGGGGAGAGGTGGTCTGTGAAGCGATGGCTTGAAGCAACTTCTGCAAATTTATTTTCAGCTGCTTTTCACCTTGGTTCATAAACAAGTCAGTAACAAAGACATCAGCAAAGAAGAGAGTGCTCTGTAAATGGGTGCAATGCAATCTTGCAGGGCTGCAGAGAGGGTTGGCGGTGCATTTTCATCGTCTTGCACTGTCCTCAAGTTTTCAAAGGTCACTCGCAGTTTGCATTCACCGTCCCACCCCCCTGCGCCTTGGAAAAGGCCCCGACCTCGGGTTTGCACAGACTTAAAGCAGGTTTCCTGCCGCCTCTAGCGCCGGGAAAGGTGCAGAGCTTACCTGCGCTGTACGCCCTGACTGCATTGGACCTGGAGGCACGGAGAGAAAACGCAGCCGCCCTAAACAGAAAGGACATTGTTGCCATTCTTTGCATGGGATCCGCCTATGCCTCTGTCCCAGATCCTGAGAATATCGCGATAGCCTAAACGCCACCCTGCCCGGGAGCTGTCAATCACCCGATCTGGGCTGTGCACCACCAATTGATTGCAGATTAATCCACTTATTCATTTTTGTCCCTGCTGGAACTCTTGCGTCAACGTCGTTTACACGGACAGGCATCTTAAATTTTAACAGCAAAAAGAAAATGCATCCACTAAACAATGATGAATGGTACATTTGGTCCTTGACTTGGAAATCTCACCGAAATGCAATCATTTGCCAACACTGCTGTAACTGATTTATACAAGGAGTGTGGTAGTGGCTCTGTGTCTGAGCCAGAAGACCTGTGTTCTAAATCTCTAAAGAGGTGTGACAAAACATCTGAAAGAGGTTGTTCAGAAAATATCTGCATTTAATTGATACCTACCCGCATGTTTCCACTTTTCTTTTGGGATTGTTATTTCACTAGAGTGAGGCTATTTCCTTCACATTCGATATTTTCATCTGAACCATGTTGTCCGCCTTCACATGTCAACATATTTTCCTAACTGTGTGAAAAGGATGCTGCTTCAGTCTTTCTCCTGTGGTATCATACTGATATTTCTGAGATGAAAGGAATTTGGGAACTGATATGCATTTGAATTGACCAGGAGCAATCTAATGTGAACACTGATCTTAGACTCACAACAGCAAAGAAGAGGCCATTCAGTCCATCATGTCCATACCAACATTCTGTCAAACAATCAATCGGTCTCATCGCACCCCCAGCCCGCTCTTCATCCACTGCAGAGATAGTAGGAACTGCAGGTGCTGGAGAATCTGAGATAACAAGGTGTAGAACTGGATGAACACAGCAGGCCAAGCAGCATCAGAGGAGCAGGAACCTGCTGTGTTCATCCAGCTCTACACCTTGTTATCTCTTCATCCACTGCAGGTTATTTTCCCCCGAGAGCTCATTGAATTTTTCTTTTCATATTGTTGATTTTAAATGTATCCAAGTACCATAAACACACAGCTGGTGATTCCCTTCCCCAATATTTGAGTAATTTTCAGATCAACAGCTCAAACGGCATAATGATGCCCATTATGTGCACAGGGACGGGGTGAGGGGAAGGGGTTTCTGCAGTGATGCAGTCTGTGCTTTTGGATTAGAGGTTGCTTTTAAACACATATGGAATTGGGGGACAGCATCTCCTTTGAGACTGTTTGCCTGAGAGCCCTGTCAGCGAGTTAGAGGGGGTTATGCTTTGGGATGTAATGGGTTTCTTTTGACTGTGCCAGCTCCTTGTTTTCACCCTTTATTAAGAATGCCTGTTTGCCTCCCCTTTTTCGACAAGATCTGGTGTTGTGCGTCTTAACTGAAATGGAAGAATCTCCCTCCAGCGTACAAGGGCGAATAACAAAAATACATTTAAAATAACTCAATAACTCATCAGACTGATTCCCAGGATGGCAGGACTAACAAATGAAGAAAGATTGGATCAACTGGGCTTGTACTACTCACTGGAATTTCGAAGAATGAGGGAGTGATATCATAGAAACATATAAAATCGTGATGGGACTGGACAGGCTAGATGCGGGTATAATGTTCCTGATGTTGGGGAAGCCCACAACTAAGGGTCACAGTCTAAGAATAATGGGTGAGCCATTCAGGACTGAGATGAGGAAGAATTTCTTTACTCAGAGAGCTGTGAACCTGTGGAATTCTGTCCCACAGAAAGTTGTTGAGGCCAGTTCATTAGATATATTCAAGAGGGAGCTGGCGTGGCCCTTGCAGCTAAAGGGATCAAGGGGTATGGAGAGAAAGCAGGAATGGGATACTGAGATTGCAAGATCAGCCGTGATTATATTAAATGTTTATGCAAGCTTGAAGGGCCAAACGGCGTACTCCTGCTCCTATTTTCTATGTTTCTATGAACTTGAAGTGTCACTGCACTGAAAATGTTACCTGTGCTTGCTTTTCACAGATGCTGCCAGACCTGCTAATTTCTCCAAAAATTTCTGGTTTTATTTCAGATTTACAGCATCTGCAGTTCTTTGTTTTGCTTCTAGGACATTAACAGAAATGCAGAAGAACTAATCACTTCCTTGTGTCAGGTCTCTTCAAAATACACCAAAAACAGTGCCACTCTGCTTTGAGATAGTAAGAACTGCCGATGCTGGAGTCAGAGATAACACAGTATGGAGCTGGAGGAACACAGCAGACCAGGCAGCATCAGAGGAGCAGGAAAGCTGACGTTTCGGGTTGAAGAAGGGTCCCGACCCTAAACGTCAGCTTCCGTGCTCATCTGATGCTGCCTGGTCTGCTTTATTAACATTTACATAATTCTGCCTGGCTACATAACCAATATGACTTATTTTACGTTTCAAACGGTAACCTTCCTAGCTTACAGTACCTTGTACAAGTTCAAGAGATGCTCGACTATCTGCTGGGAAAAATTAAGGCCAAATCCCAACTGGAATTGTCTGAACCTCACAGAGATGTCAAAAATTGCAGGAGCTTTATTTAAAAGCAAGAACAACTTGGTAAAACTATTGGTGTTGCCATGATGTGATAGCCACCGATTTTTCTTTTCAGTTGCCCCTCCAAATTTGGGTCCAAGCCCAGAAAAATCTATGCTTTATGACCCTTTAGGACCTAAAAGACCCTTTATCATTCTATAATATCTTGCTTCACCATTAGATAAAAGCTCTAATGAGCATAAGTAAGCATGAACATTCTTCCACAAAGGCATATGTAGACACCAGACGTTGCATGAGGGCAAATAGTCTAAGGTTGAATTATCTTTCTCTTTCTTTCTGGATGTTTGGATGTTGGTTGACAGGAAAACCAAATGCAGTAACCTCCCTGAATGCTCTTTCACAACATACAGCTCCAATCCTTACACTGTGTCTTCTGTACGATATATCATGCTGCTGTGTGATTGAGTACAGGAAATGTCTCATTGTTGACCTGGCCAGGTCTGGTCTTCATAGGCTGAGGGGAAGACACTTCATGCTTCGCCTGGAGCAGTAACTGTCTCAGATTGTTCCAGTCATCAGAATTGAATCAAGGGTGAGAGTCCTACAAAATGCCTGAAACCATTCAAACAGTTTGTCAGACCTTAGACCTTAGAAACTAGAGAAGATGGTGATGTAATGGTAACAGCACCAGCCTAGTAATCCAGAGAATCTGACTAATGTTCTGGGGAAAAGGATTCAAATCCCGTGAATAAAAATCCAGAATTGAAATAGTGACCTTTGCTGCTTGCTGTAAAAACTCTCTGGTTCACTCATGTTCTTTAGGGAAGGAAATGCTGACCTGGTCAGGCTCCAGACCCACAGCAATGTGGTTGCCTCTGCATTACCCTCTGAAATGATTGTATAAGCTCATCGTACAAGGACACTTAGGGATGGGCAATAAAGCCCTTGCCAGCAGTCCCCATATCCCATGGAAGCTTTGTTTCAAAAAAAAACTATGCCTACACAGGAAACTGATATTTAATAAAGGAGCCTTGGGTTTGGAAATTGAACAAGATTAATCCAAATATACAGAAGAGTAAACAACGGGCTAAAATAACCCAATCAATGTAAAATAGAATAAAACAGTTTCAAGAGATCTGCACATGTATTTCAGACAATCCCTCCAATAATGGCGAATAAAATGTGAAGAGATTTCATTATCAAGGCGGAGATGCTTTTCTTTCTTGTAACTGTAACCCGGAGGATATGTAGCATGTCGTTATTACAAAGCCCCTCCTACCTGGGATTTGATTTCTTTCTCTCTCTCTTTCACTCCTGTTTTTGTGGTACCCAGTCAGTTCATTGCATTCATAGTCTGCTCTAAATTCTTGCCTGCAAATCCGGTGACATTGCAGGCGCCGGTTTCACTTCAGGACTGTCCCTGGTTTGAATCATAATCCGATTAGGATTTGACGGTGTGGCGAGGAAGGAAGAGGCACAGAGAGAGAGACAGCGAGCAGCGAGTGAGTGAGTGTTAGTCCCGCGCCATTGACTGCAATCCAGCTCAGCGGTCACACTGACTCTAAACCTTGCCAGAGGTGAGTACAGTACCGGACTCTTCATTTAAGGATGGGTAAATGGGGTTTGTCAAACAAAGACAGGGGATAATGGCATTTCTGAAAACAAAAAAAAAATACGATTTACAAAAGGAAAAAAAATGTCACGCTTGATTTATTCAATAACAATGAACTCTAGTAAAACAAATCCCCAAGCAATTACACAAAGAATGGGCGACCGCTCCAGTGTGTGTTAGATTCAGATCCAAACTGCCATCGTCAATGGTGCATGAAAGGATGAATTTGGATTCAGCATTCCGTGCTGGACTAAATAACAGGTTGGTAATTTAAATCTGAATCCACTCCTTAGGAAAGCAGGATCAACCGTGTGGACAATGAGAGATGTTAGCGGTGCATTATTGCACATTGTCCAAGCTATTTATGGAACAGAAATGGGAGAAAGTTCGGTGTATTACAGAACCAATCAACGGCCTATTTATGCAGAGGATGTATGGAGCTATGACAGTGACATATTGATACTTATGTTGATACAGGACTGAGCCCGCAGGGTTTATGTGTTCACACACCACTATAAAGAGCCACAGTAAGGGGCCTGTTGGATTTCAATCCGATTGGGGTAAAGGGTTGGAAGGGTGTGTTTGGCCGCCTCCCATTGGAAATGCAAGATGTAGCTTCTCAGCAATGGTTGTAGCTCACTCGTCTTCCACGATAACAAGGCAGTGGGAAACCACCTCAGCAATTCTTCCTTTGTTAGTGGCTCTAAGAATCCTCTGTGCGAATTAGCCTGATTTAGGGCAGCACACGACCAGCAGGTGCAGTTAAGAAACTGAAATATATCAATGTAATATCAATTTCTACAGTTAATCAGATGAATGCATTGAGAAATGTCACAGGACCAGACCATAATGCTGTAAAGATGATTTTCTGAGGAACATATCAAACTATCTGCTCCCTTAATGGTGTGCAAATTAATCTCTTGTAGTGCTGCTCAGGATGAGGCAAGATTAAGTCCAAGTCTTCTGGTGCACATGATTAGAGAGTGAGGCTAATTGGACCAAGCTAACGGTAA